TTTGGCGGTTTGTATAAACAAAGTTGCTCAAGTGCTTTCTTGGGGAATTCTTTCCTTGCTTTACTGTACAGGGTGCCAATGTGATTCCTCTTACCAGCTTTCCCACTGGATGACTAATGCAAAAGTCACATTACATTTCTTTTCCGGGGTTGTATGGCAAACTCACCCTGGTTAAACTATGGAAATAGAGTCATAAATAACATGAGTTGCCCTCCAAAAACTTTGTTTTCGTTTTTGTCTCGAGAGTGGTAAATACAAAAGTTGTTCCCTGCACCCTCCCTTGTTTTTGTGGTGCAATTAAACCAGCTTTAATTTAGGCTTAATCTCCGATATGCGATGGTCTTCCACGTAACCTGCTCGGGGATACAAACCCTCACTTAGGTCTGATAATCGAGGGAGATCCCAGGCACGTGGCCAGGTCAAAAGTGAATCAGCGTACTCGCCACGCTGCACGTGTCCTCTTTCTGCCACAATTATATAGTAATGACCCATTCAATTCAAGGCAAATCCATTTTTATCGATTTCTATACAAGTTATTAAGGGAAGGACGAATAACATTTATTTAGATGCGAACGATTCGAATATCATTGTCTTATTATTGCATTTTATTCGGAACAATATGGGGAAAACTATCCCTGATTATTTATTTCTACATATGCAATATTAATGTCTAAAATGTTTCTCTATCAGATAAATTCTCTTTAGATAAAATACTTATTATACCCTTGCAGAGGGTATTATAATTTTGGTCAAAAGTGTGCAACGCAGTGAAGGAGACATCTCCGACCCTATAAAGTATATATATTCTTGATCAGGATCACCTCCTGAGTTGATATAGCCATGTCCGTCTGTCCGTCTGTCCGTCGTCCGTCTGTCCGTCTGTCCGTCTGTCTGTCCGTCTGTCTGTCCGTCTGTCTGTTTCTACGCGAACTAGTCTCTCAGTTTTAAAGATATCGAATTGAAACTTTGCACACACCCTTCTTTCCTTTGCACGCAGTATATAAGTCGGAACGGCCGGGATCGGCCGACTATATCCTATAGCTGCCATATAACTGAACGATCGGAAATGCCATAACTTTGGTGTTTGTAAAGTTAGGAAGTTGGGATTTTCTATGGGTTTTGAATTTGGCTAATCAATCCGACATGCCGAATTTCATAAGGATCGGCCGACTATATCCTATAGCTGCCATATAACTGATTGATCGGAAATGCCATAACTTTGGTGTTTGTAAAGTTAGGAAGCTGGGATTTTCTATGGGTTTTATATTTGGCCAATCAATCCGACCTACCAAATATCATAAGGATCGGCCGACTATATCTTATAGCCGCCATATATCTGCTTGATCGGAAATGCCATAACTTTGGTGTTTGTTAAGTTAGGAAGTTGGGATTTTCTGTGAGTTTTATTTTTGGCCAATCAATCCGACCTATTAAATTTCATAAGGATCGGCCGACTATATCCTATAGCTGCCATATAACTGAACGATTGGAAATGCCATAACTTTGGTGTTTTTAAAGTTAGGAAGTTGGGATTTTTTATGTGTATTAAGAATGCATCTTGTGAATAATTTTGGAGAATATAATGTACATAATATTCTGCAAGGGTATATCAACTTCGGCTCCGCCCGAAGTTAGCTTTCCTTTCTTGTACTTTTTATTCTTTTAAAATAAAATGCTGTTTTGAATTTACAGCAAAACATTTTTTCTGTTTACGTGAAGACAAAAAGTAGAAATCCTTGGCATTTTGTATCGCTTTTTTTCAACTACTTGATATATTGACAGTTTGCCTCATTCATCTATTATTTCTTAATTGGTGCGGGGTTTTCTCTCCTCCAGCTTGGGTTTTAAGTAGATTTCCTGGAGTCTATACCTCTTTGTCAAGCTCTCTAAACACGTTCTATGAGGCGACGCAATTTATGTAAATGTCGTTCAATTCAAAGTCCCAGACTTGGAGAAAGACCACTAATGTATGCATGCTCAGAGGCTTCCGTTGCGACGAGAACGAGAGAACTAGAGACTAGAGAATCAGAGAATTGGAGAAGTGTAGCGGAGAAGCCCGTTCCATTTAAATTCTTTTGACCTGACTCAATGAAGAGAAGCTTGAAGCTTGTGGCCGTGTCCAGTTCAGTTCACTTAAGTTTTTTAAATTGAGTAGAGCCTCAATTAAGTCGATCATTATGATACTGATGATCAGCTTGATGGCCACTCAAGTTGCCGCATAGTTAGCATCTAACTCAGAAAGGTAAAAAACTACTTGGCAATTGCATTTTGATGCAGTGCCATTCTGGCAGATACTTGATTCTGGCCAGGTCGACCAGGCTCCCACGCTCTGAGCCAAGCCCATTTAAGCCTCAACATTGCCGCATTTTAATGATCCACCTGTCTTGCCTTGTGCTCATGATAATGATAATGGTAAATTGTTCAACTTGGGTAAACCAAGGGCGTGATAAAGAAAACAAACCAGACCTCTATCTGCTTTGGGGGCGTGTCTGATGGACAAACTCTTGATGTCACAAGAAGGCATTGAAATTATATTAAAACATAAACTAATTGTGAAATAATTTATTATTATTATTAAACCAAGTTTTTATTACTAAAACCAAGTTATAAATATATCTTTATTTTTTTAGACACTTGTAATAGTAACAAAAGTAAAATAATAATTATAGTTTAATGTTCCTATAATTAAAATACCTTTAATTACAGTTTTTTTTGAAATTTATCTAGCCAACCTCCTACTCATTTTTGAGTAACGAGTCTTACCTCACCTAACCACTTACTTTCGGCCAGTCGCTGAGGTTGCTTTTTGGCCATATAATTGCGCAAATGACATAAAAATGGTTGAGAAAACGTCAGCAGTTGGCAACAACAAATCGAACAATGGCAACAGCCTAACCACAATCAAGAAACGAGTTGCCAAAAGAAGTGTTGGCCAGAATGGAGGTTCGAGTTCGAGTGTGCGCTTAAGGCGCTGACCTTTTGGGGCCAGAATTGATGACAATGAAAATCGTAAAAAGTAAATACATTCAGACATGAAAAAAGTTTTAACAGTACAAGAAGCGTTGGAACAAATTGTGACCCACAAAGAGGCTTTTTTCGTAAAGGAAAAGAAAAAAGTTAAAGAAGAAAGTTTTTACCTCCCAGATAAATCTGCCACAATGAGAGTAAAAGTAAAGCACGCCACTGCATTTATAATCGATTTTTTACTTTTGCCACTTTTTGTGTTTGTTTTTTTTTTTTGAAAGACTTTTTGTGACGGGCAAGGGCCAAACGAATCATTTGAGCTGGTATATTAAATGCTACGTGAGTGAAGGCAATCAGTGAATTTGCATGGAAAGTGCTGCCCTAGGGGCGCCTTCTGTATCTCGGAACTACGTGAGATTTTGATAAAAGCGACACTCAGATAAGGTAAACGCCCAACCTGCCAATAGCCAAACACCCCGAATGGCACTCATCAGAAATGGGCAAAACAAAGCGAAAGCCACTCCACAGATAACCAAGTGGCAAGTGGCCCAAAGGGTTCGAGGAGGGGATTTGCTCAAGGGCCGGGAAGATGTATCTCTATTTGTGACTGTCGCAATCCAGAGGCCCTGCAACGAATCTGTAGTGGAAGTAGCCAAGCCAGTGGCAAAATCAACAAAATAGAAGCTGGTTTTTCAAGGTTGTTCAGATGGGCGAGATTAATAAATGCGAGGCGGGTTAGGCGGCAAATGGGCGACGGCACACTGGTTTAATAATGTGATATCGCCAAAAACAAAAATACTTGTCGGAAACAAATACTTAACACACTTACTTACTTGAACCTAATAATCAACAAATTTGTTTGTGCTTTAATAAGAAATTATCAAGTGTGATTCACTGGAATACAAATATAATTGATAGTCCAAATACGCTTTAATAATTTAAATGAGTTCCACCAATTCGTCAGCAAACCAATCCTAGTATCAACTTGTTGCATAATGCATCTATTAATACCTAACTTAATTTAATAGCACAATAATTTTTAAAGCCTAGCGATTTTAAGTCATTATAAGAAAACGGTTTTTGCCTTATCAATACAAATTAAAGACTACAGTTGAAATATGCAGGGCCTTGCCGACCGCTGCTTTAAAACTTAGATTTCTATTAAAATAACAGGAAATTATTTGTGTTTACTGGGGACTACCTTAGCATTTATCTAATGTGACAAGCGGTTTGTATTTTGGTTTAAAAGTAGACCAACCGCAAAGTGAATCACGAACTGGTAGTTTATCTATTAAATTAACTCATTCCATTTGTGGGTCCAACACTAGCTCGAATTGTTATCTGCATATTTTGCCCAAATAAAGTTAACACATTCTTTTGCTGAGCTTTTGCAGCCACTGTACTTGTGCGTGCTGCTAGCTGAAGTTTATTTGGCAACAAACTCGACACGAGAGCAGAAAAGAATATTGATTGTAGTCTGTATAACCACACCGTTACCAACATATAGCGATGGAAAAAATTGTTAAATTAAGGGTTTAAGGGTTTAAGGGTTTAAGATAACTTTAATTATTATAAACTTAAAATGTTCAAGTGTGCTTGTTTCATTAGGGGGATGTCCTTTAATATCGTATTATATCATTAATCGTAAAATATTATGTGTATGCAAAAATACGGTATATATTTTACACTGGCATCTGTTAATATTTTCGTCTTGTGTTGCGATAGATTGAGAATAACCCCAAATGGAAGATTAGCTTCCCTCTGTCATATTGTTTGAATTATGGAATTTTAAATAAAATATGAATCAAATTATTATGCAATTCATAATTTGGAATTTATATTTACTGTTTGGGATTTTTTCTGTCAATAATATGTATTTTTACTGAAACTTTTTATTTGGGAAAATTACACTATAGCCACCACAAACTATTAAATGCAAAAAAACTGATAACTGTTGTTTTCTTTACTTGCACCTGTAGATTAGTGGGAACGAACAATGTCCGATTTTCCCCCCCGGGACTTTTCCGGGAACTCACCTTTTGGCTTTTCTCCTGGCTGGTGGAACGCCGTCGCTTCCGCCGGCTGAAAAATGTGTTGCAAGCATGTGTTGAGCAGCAGCAGCGGTAGCAAAAACAAATGCACTTGCAACATCTTCAGATCAATGCTGTATAACTGATGTTGCTATATATTTGTGGTTGAAGGGAGAATATTTGCTTTTCTGCTGACGATAGTGAAACTTGTTGTTGCCGCGGGGCAAAATGTAGTGACATCACACTTCCTGCCCTTTGAGACTTGTGGCGCGGGATGGTTATTTAGTTAAAAGCAGGAGGGTTTTTTAGATTTTCGAAATCTCCTTTTCATCATTCAGAAAAAACGAGTTTTAATGAACAACAACAAAATCACTCGCGTAAATCGAGAACAACAAACAAAATGCAGAAATTGCTGCTGCTATTCTAACTGCTTTTGCTCTCTGTTTGGCTCTCTCTCTTTTGGCCCCTCTCTTGTGCTTTGCAGAACTTTTGGCCTTCCTATTGGAATTTTCTAAACTGCGAGGCGTTATTCACCCGCAAATCACACTTTATTATTAATTCAAGCCAGCAACATATTTCGGTGATGGGCAGTATTTCATTTATTTTTTGTTGGCTTTAATTCAATTTACTGATGACAATCACCAGTCCACACACACTAGCTCTCACTAAACACACGCACGCACCTGAGCGGAGAGAAAACGAGCGACCGCGACCCAACAT